CCCAACGCCTAAATAGTTGCGTTTTGAATGTGAAGTGAAGTGTCTCTTTTTTGGCCACCCCTGTACTTTCTCGCTGCCTAAACACTTAATCTTGTCCTTTGAAACGGATTTCGCGATGAAAAGCAGCCCATCGGAAATCAAGTTAGAGATTCTCAGTGATGCCTGGATGGGGAGACTTGCGAGCTAAGCGATTTTTGGTGCTGACCGCTTCAACGCTGACGCTCTCTTTGCTAAACAGCTACAGGCTCAGACATCGAGAGGGGCGTACTCAAGTTTCCCCTTCTTCGACCTTAGTCCTTACCGTAGAATCCTGCCTCAAGGGTAGGCAACATAAAAAAAATGTATAGACACCCGTTTCCTCGGAACTCTCCCACAACCTCTATGAACGCCGACCAGTTTGGTTTGCGAAAACGCCCTCCAAGAAAGTTGATAACTAGATCGATTTAGTATCTTAAGAAGCTGCCATTTCATAGATTCCACTTATCTTATAAAACACATCTTGACTATTGCGAACGAAGTCGCTCAACTTCCACTGTATAAGGTGCTTATTTTGCTATCATCGCTATGTAGGTTCCTTTCGATGATTCAGGGGAACACATGACTGGGGCTTAGACGCGTCGTTTCACTAAAAGGTTAATGTGTAACGTATCTGAGAGAAATTTGCTGTCAATTTGTTTGCTGAATAAGCTTGCACCTTAAAACCTCGGCCGGTGTGGCACTACCAAAAAATAACAAGCTGAGATTGTAGCAATAAAGTGGCTGAAAACTGGGTGGAAGTAACATTGGATCTGCATGCGATTTTCTTAGAACTCTTTCACATTGCCTTGGTAAACAGAGAACAAACTCGAAGGATTTTGGACAGGATCAACCGTACGTTGCGCAGTTCCCAGTGGAGATCGTATTTGCGACTGTGTGAGGGAGTAGCAATAGGAGTTGATGAAGGTCAAAGACTTAAAAAAAGGAGAGGTAATTATGGTGTGGTCGTGGTCGACGGGAGGAAGCAGGTTGCATTGACGGTTTTTTGGTGAAACTTCACGAAAGAGGCTTGAAATGGATAAAATTATGGTATCTGCTCTAGACAGATTCACCCCGCAACCACTTTTTCTTCCACCCACGCTTGACGGCCGCTTAGGCAGTGTTGGAGCGTGTCGACGGATCAAATACTATAGAGAAGCCATGATGGCGAGGGGGTGTCGGAGTGGGAGGGGGTCGTGTCGCGGGACCCTTAACCAGGGAAGGCTTTCAATTCTCACGGATTTTTGATTGGAGACCTGGGTGAATTGGTGGAGTAATAGATGCTGTTTACAATTATGGAGACCAAAACTGCTACGCGAACATTTCGAGCAAGTCGAGCGGTCAAAGTTGAAGGAAACTGTAGCGTCAATATATGAGTCGAGCTAATCTAACCGCATCAGCGTTTTTATTTTCCCTGATACTTTGCCTATAGAGGTAAATATATGGCCTAATACTGAATATAGCAGTCATTTCTGAGGCAGAGGTGATGCGATCTGGCGCCGGTTTGGTGCTACAACTCACTTTTTTGCTTCATTTCTTGCAAATTTCCTCCAGAAGGCATGAAAAATTTTAATGAGGTTGTCATACTTATTGTCACCTGATCCTCAACAATGAACACCTCCTTCTTTCTTCTCTTAATCTTTTCCTACTTACCTTTACTGGTTGATTCTGGCGGACATCCCTTTCCTCTCTTAATTTTTCCTGAAGCTTCCCTTCACTGTTGATCTGCGACATCCCTTTGCTATGTTTTTTCCTAAAGTTTTGTGATTTCCGTGCATGAAAGTTTCGAGTTCTTTGTTGCTGTTATAATCAACTTCGCATTATTAACTATCATTTTCTGTGTTTAAAGGCGTGCGGCACGATAAATTAGTCACCGTTAGAAATGGGAGCCGAGGTAGAGGTTTACGGTGCGGGTAAAAATAACCGCGAGCTGGAATTTCTTTTTGCCCGTTGATTTCCTCGCTGGACGAGATTCCATGATAGATGACGCTCTCGATGTTAATACCTCTGCACACGCTCTCTCTCGCCGCAATCAGGCAGTCCCTCACTATCAACCACTCAAAAACTGAATCCGTTTTTGGAGGCGGGGATTGCCACAAATGTGGACAAGGCCAACCGTCGGTTTGGACACCTTTATCGTGGTCGCAGGGTTTTGGCATTTTAGAAGCTTAAGGGTCGTATTTGTAGGAGGAGGATCGTTTTGGGATCGGGGGATTTTCAGAATTTACAGGAAAAGTGCAAAGAACGGGAATTACAACATTTGCAGGTAAATTTATACATGCCTTCTACGAACTCCTCCCGTCGTCGCACTTCTATTTTGGAGAGGATTTTGACGAGGGGTTGAAGTGTATCACCTGGCTTCAGAATCAAGTGGAAACACTGACGGTGGTGAGGCGGTCGCGCGGTGGTGGTGTGTTATGGTATTCGTGGGTGAGCCCCTGGTGTTCCAAAGAACGCAGCAAGCACCCCCTCCTCTCCGAGAGGAGACGGTTTTTAAAACTTTTGAGGTCGTCCGAACACACTGGATAACCCTGCCCCTACGCGAATAAATCTTGCTAGTGTGCCGCAAACGCGCCCTTCCCTGCGAAAACGCCGCAGATCGTTTCCTAGGGGTCTAACCTCCCTTTAGTGTAGGCACTTTCTCTTCATCAGTTCAATTTATTGTATCCTCTACCTTCAAACAACAATTTGTAGTTTCCAGAAGCTGATCGCTGATTGATGTCGCAAAGTACAGAACCGTCGACTGTTAACAACCAGTCAAGCTCCGATCACGTTTGC